AAAAAGATTCATTCATAACACAGGGGAAAAGACCCAGAGAAACAGAGTTAACGATACAAAAAATAACGATAAAAAAACATAAATTTTACACCCGAACCACAACTCTCGCAGCCTGATGCCAAATGACTCACGGACAAGCCCGGGGTTTGGGGACCGCTGTACTACAGGACACACTGCACACTCTCTTGGTTGAAACCCGAGGACAATTGCTACATAGCAAATGTTTTAACTGTAAATTTTGTGGAAATGAAAAGTCAGTGAAGCTAATTTTACTTTACTTTGCAGCGAGACAACAAGGTGCAGATCAGTACATCCTTAACACACAACGCATGGTTTGGACTGCTGCTCGGGATTTCTGCAGAGCACACTACACAGACCTGACCAGTCTAAGGAATGATGCTGAGTACCAGATAGTCCAGCAAGTAGCCAATGGCAATGAAGTGTATGTTGGTCTCTTCAGAGACCCCTGGGTGTGGTCAGGCCAGACTGACTCCTCATTTAGATACTGGAACCCAGACATGCTTGTTCGGACTGATGACACCGAAAACTGTGTTGCTATGTTGAAGGTAAAATCTGGTAAATGGGGAGACAGGGCATGTACAGAAACATATCCATTCGTTTGTAACTGCAGTGAGTAAAACTCTTTACTAACACATTTAGTTTTACTTTTTTTCAAATAGCAAAAACTATTGTTATCTTAATTTTTCTCAGTGACAGAAATGTGTAAAATGAAGGAGAGTGTTGCAAATACGATTCGGACTAACTCTGTTTACATGTGTTTATATAAGGCAACAAACTGAGTTTCATTAAACTGAGGATCAGCACACAGGACCCAATGCTGGATCTAAGTAATCCTTCAGTGCAAGCAGACATCTTGGAGCAGGTAAGTGATACAGATCTTTGTTAATGCAGAGCAGTTAAATTTCAGTATTTTATATATATATATATATATGAGATTGTGACATGAAATAAGTATTTAATCACATTAGGACCTTCATGGTTTTGCAATGGTAAATGGAAACATGAGTATTTTCTGTCTAATAGATGAGCCAGAAGCTAAGGAGTTATAACATCACTGCTGGTTTCCATCTAAAGTGGAGAAAACAATCTGATGGAAGAGTTTTTACCAAGGAGCCTTGAAGAAGTGGCTGAAGAGAAAAGAATCAGCGGAACAAGTTAATATGGATGATAAATGTACTTTAACAGAGTAGCATAGAGCAATGTGAACATAGTATAGACACAGTGTGTGTGTATCAGCCTTAACCTTTGTATATATTTCCCCAGCCCAAGTGTAGTGTTTGTGCGCAGTTAACATAACCACAGTTTTCACTTAGCCACTACTGCACCCCACCTGTATATAGCCACTAAACTCCACATCAGTGTGTATTCACGTTTTGCCACTTGCTGTAATAAATTCTTGTCACGTTCATACGGTGTCTGTGTTGAATCTGTCCAATCCGCCCTATATGGCCCACGCCGTGACAGTTACATGCTTAAATATAAAGTTGAAAAAACGTAAGTGCATCCAGGCTATGGATCAAGTAATCGCGATTAATTACAGAAAACT